ATGTGGTTGCCGCAAGCCTGCCGGCTGCTCCTTCGTCGAATCCGCTGGCCATGGCTCACTCAGCCCGCCGGCCGCCGCTCACTCAAGCCACTGTGTGTTTCGTTGTGAAAGCGAAACTACTTTGTTTGGCCTTCCAAAAGAGGACATAATGTTTCACAATAATGTACATTATGTGGAAAATAATGTGTTTTTTTTACTTTAAACCGCAAAAACACATTGCATTACACCAAATACACAACATAATGTTCTTTTTAGCAACGTCATATGACCCCTTTAATACAGTTGCTTTAATAAGAATCAATGTATAATTGATGTATATAGTGTTTTTTTTTTATATTTGTTCATTCAATTTCTTGAATGCTACTGCTAAATACACCTAGTGTACCTGAAAAATAAAGCACTGTTTGTTTTATTTGTATATTATTTGTGTTAGTAATGTGTATCTTAGTTCTTATTTTTAATAACAAAGATAAAATAATGACAGTGATTTTTATCTTCGCTCGCTTTGGCCTAAATGTCTGCCATTGTTTTTTATTTTATATTTTGTTACCTTGTAAGGTTTTGTTTTTAAAATAGGGAAATTAGTCATGATAAATCATCATGATAAAATTGTGTTTTTCCTGAAAAAAATCGTGATATGATATTTTTGCCATATCGCCCACCCCTAATTTCCACCCCAAATTAATGCTTCTTTGTGATTATTCTTCACTACAGGTAATAAGAATATTATACAGGTAATAAGAATAAAGGTAATCAGAAACAAAAAGAATCTTTTTGTAAAAAGTCTCAGTTATATTACTTTATTCTCCCTGACAGTCAAGCCCTGAATAGTATAAAATATATGACCATTTGCCATTTTTAGGGGAAACATATCCTGCAGTCACTAACAGGTATTCAGTCTGTGTTTTTGTGTACTGACCTGAGTTTTCTGGTGCAACACCAGACATTCATCCAGATGGGCCAGAGTCCTGTCCACTGCTTTGCGGACTCTCTTGCGAGAGGTACCGGCCTGCCAGGTCTCTCCGTCTGCCATGCTCTGATAGCAGTCCGGCTGGATAGCTGCCTGAATAGCCATGAACCTAGCCACTGTCAGCTCTATCCTTCCACCGCTGCCCCACACAGACACTGTCTGTTTAATCGCACACAACCATTAAATCCCTCACAATTAACAGTAAAGGGATGGCATAGCTTTAGAGGACACAAAAGCTCTTTGTAAGCCAAACCGCAGCAGTTGAAAACCAATGAGATTTTACTAAATTGACTATTTGTAATGATTTATTGGAAGTGTTAGTGACAAAAGAGGCTGAAAACAATCATTCGACAGTTCTCTTACCTTGTTGGTGACGTGACCGGCAGGGCTGGCGTTTGCAGAATCATGCAGAGAGCAGAAAAGCACAGTATCATGAAGACCTGCGTAGGAAACCATCAGCTTTGTGTTAATCACACCAGAGAATTAGCTGATCAGATGTCTTTTGTAACTAGCACAACTCAAGCAGCTACTTCTAATCAAAACAGACATCATGCATTCAAATCTAAAATGTTTTAACACCAATTTCAATGACTGAAATTTTAAAGCTATAAATAGTACAAACACAACATATGACGAACTGCAAAATACACTTGTATTATTCATCCATTTACTAAATCCTCAACAGCGATGGAATGCATAAGAACAGTCCAATGCAATCAGGCAGAACACTTGTTCATTATAACAAAACTGCTTACTGGCGAAATAAACAACCAAGAGCTCAACTCATTATTCTGAACATATAAAAATGCATTTATATGGAGATTAGGACAAATTGGGGCACTGATGAGTGGTGTTGATGGCAAAAGTGTACATTTGCATAGCTTGTACAAACTAATTCCCAACTGTAGATTAGACAAACGTGTACATGTATGAAAGGAACATGAAGAGGAATCTAAATTCGGCATTATATGGAAATGATGGAGGTGAACTTCAGTGACCAACTTTATCATTTACAACAATTTTCTTTTTGTAATGCTCCAAATGGAGAACTAGCAGCCACCTCAAGTCACCCTTTGAAATGTCTTCACGGTCACACATCTTAATATTGTGAATGCAATTACCTTTCTCATTTCTGGTTGGATTGCTCAAGGCAACGACTGAAACAGTGCCCTTCTTTTTCGTTACGGTTGCAAAATTAAAACTGAAAACTCATTTTTCGAAAATACATCTGCGGTATGCATCCAAGCATGAATGCATAATTATTTCTAAACAGTCAGTAGTCTGCGAGGGAGGAGATAATCTGAAAACAAGCCTTCAGAACTAAAAATCAACACCCGCACTGGTAAATTAGGTTGGTTGAAAGCTAAAAGAATTTCAAAACCAAACTAACTTTATTTAATATTAATATTATTTTACAATGCTTATGGTTTGGGATATTGAAGTGTGTAATTTCTACTAGTAGCACCAATTGGAATTGCTATTTGTTTGTTCGAGCAATAGAAGTGGCTTGAAACTGGTTTCAAGTTTATTTTGAAACCAGTTACCAGAAACCAGAAACTGTTTCACCTTTAAGAAGAGTTTAACCATGTTTCAAAACTTATAGCACTGTGAGCAAAAGAGATTTTTATCAAGTGCTTCAAGTCTCAAAGCTTGAGCAGGATTGACCTATAGCCAATTAATTTTTTTTTAAATTGGAATCATCTTCAGAAGTGTAATACTTTCTGCCACAGTCTCAGCTCCAGAACCTCTTTGATAATTTATAAACCATTTGATGTGTGAATTTTCAAACTGTGTGAACTACTTCAAGATCTATAAGCCAACTGAGAAAATGTTTACACCCACACTGCTGGCTAGAAATGACTTACAATACTTGTGTGATAAAGAAGATCTTTTCAATTATCTTGAACAAACTACTAGTCACAGTAGGTCATCTATTCATCTCAATTGCAGTTGCTGGACCCAAATGAATTATGTGATTTGAAGTCTGCCATATTTGGCTGAGGACAAAACTTTTTGCGTCAATCACCTGAACTGTAAATGTCATGTGACTAATCACTTTAGAACCGCAGGAAAATTGTATTATGACAACAGTGGGACTAGCTGATGGCACCACAAAAGCCCCAAACTTTTCATTAAAGTGGTGATTCACCGCTGACAAGCAGGGATTTTAATGAAAGCTGGCTGTCTATGCAACAGAAACTAAATGTTTTATTTTTAAATCAGTGCTACATAACTGCACAATTGTTTATAAAAGCCATTCATAAAAATCAGACATCTGTACTTATAATTAAATATCAGGGATGTTGCTAAGCGAAGATATTCTTACAGGCACACTGTCTGAAGACATTTTAACCAAGAGAAAGCAAATCACAAAAAGTTAGTGAAAGAGTGAAATGCTAACCTGCAAACTTTCTGACACCCTCTTTGAATTCCTCCAGAACCTCATGATGCTCTGCACTGAAAAAGAAAAAGTGCTGAATAACTGAAACTGTAGATATATAAAATAAATAAAATAAATCAAACCTTTGTCAATATGGAAAAAAATATTTGCAAATGCAAGATCCATCCCTAATTATACTTTAATACTTTTATTTTTATTTACACTACTGGTCAAGTTTTTTATGGGATTTTTAAAAGAAGCCTTTTACACTCACCAAGGCTACATTTATTTCATAAATTTAAAAAAACTGTAAATACAGAAATCTCTTTGAAATATTATTACTACTTTAAATAACTGTTTTCTATTTATATATATTTTAAAATGTAATTTATTCCTGTGATGCAAAGCTCAGTTTTCAACAGTTATTACTTAAGTCTTCAGTGCCACATGACACTTCAAATGAACAATATTTATTTGAAATAAAAATCTTTTGTAACATTACATCTCTGTCTTTAGAGTCACTTTTGATCAATTTAATGTCCTTACTGAAAAAAAGTACTAATTCTTTACAAAAATCTTACCCCAAACGTTTGAATATTATCAA